CCACACCAAAACAATGTGCTCACAGCATGAAAGAACAAACAAAAACAACTCGACTAATAGATAGAATACAAATAAAGACAAGATGCAAACCTGGAACCACTTGGCGTGGCGAAGAGACGCCAAGGCAGCCAGGCATTTCTGCCTGTCCAGTACATCCGGGGGATCGTTGACTGATAGCGTTTCTATTGGCGGGTGGGATAAGAAGACAAGGTACAGTTTGACCAAGGGGTTTTTTTTCTGTCTCACGGCCAGGGGGAGGAGGCAGCGAGGGGAGAAGGGGAGGGGAACCTCCCCCACTGGAAACAACTAAAACAAAAGCCCTCCCTATGCTGGTGAACAAAATAAAAGAAAACACTATATGAAGAGATTATGGGCTTGTTGTATTTCCCCAATCTAGGTGGCTACTTCCACCCCATGACTCCCAGTGAGTAACAGAGAAATGCAGGGGTGTACATGGGAGTAAGTATGTGGTTAGAGGGTTTTGTGGTGTTTGTTTGAAAGCATAACGTAATGCCTCAGTGGAGTTAGAGATGGCTGAGTGCATTTATGTACCATGGGGGGCAGAACCCCTCCCCCTTCATCCCCTTCTATTATTTTTTTTTCTTTTTTCTGAGGTTGCTGCCTTGCCCCTTCCGAGACAGAGAGCGTCCAGTTGGTCAAAGGTCCAGCGTCCCTAAAATTGACAGACTAGAAGGCTTGACAGAGAGAATCAGATTTTGAACCACAGTGAGAAGTAGTGAGATGCACAAAAAACAAGTCCACACTGCAGCAAAACTGATGGCTTCTCAGGCCTTAAAGCAGGCTTGGCTAAAAGTGGGATCATAGATAGGGCTAGGCTTTAAGTTTACGTTAGACTACCCGTTTCTTACTACCGCAGGGATTTTAAATCCCAGTTCTCACATCTCAACATGTGAACTACCTTCGCAATTCTTTGCAACTCGATATCCTCTCTACCTTACCACCAACAGGTCAGATCCAGCAAGTTACATTTATTATTTACGTCCAGGGAATATTCTGAAATTTCTCGGCTAAACTAACATCTATGGTGTGGAGTCAGATGGCCCTAGCGTTATCTATAACCCCTTTCCCTTCTTTATTGAAAGAATGGCACCGTCAACAGATCACTACTGGTTCTAGCAACCAGAGTTTTCGGTAAACCTCGCTGCTCATTTTTGCTGCAATGCAAACTGTTCCATTTCTTTCTCAGTATATATACACATGCAAACAACTAGGTTTGTGATTTCTTTCTTAATTCTCAGTAAGCCTTCATTGAACCCTTGTTTCACTTGAAAGGGAGTGGAGCATGTTTTCTTTTTTCCTTCTATCCTTTCTTTACTGTTTGTTCTCCTTTAATTAATTTACTGTGTATTGGGCCATCAAAAATGTATGTTACATGGAACTACGAGGCTCTAAGTAGATATAAACAAGCCTTCATAACATGTCTGTGCCACACAACATCCCCTAGCTCCATTGAAGGCCCAATAAACAATATCTAATTAGCTTCTCTCGCTCTCTCTCTCTCTCTCTCTCAGTCCAGTCTATTTGTATTTCCTGGCTTGGAGGGGACTGTATTTCTTTGCGATTTCTTTTCTTGTCTCTGAACAGGGTAAACGTACCTCCGGCAGCCTGTTTCTCAGCTTCCTCTCGGACAACAGGTGACGTCAGGTGAATGGTGAGATTAAGAGCGGGCTGCTTGGTGTTTTTGATCATGATGCAGGCGTCACGGATAAACTGCATTACCTCATACTTATCCTCAGTGATGAGCTGAAAGGAGATAAGTGGAAAATTTGCACCATAGAGAACACAATGCACACAGTGTTATTTTATTTAAGATTATTTAAGATGTATTTATGATGTGACCTACCTTGAGCTGCACACTGAGATTCTCGGCCACTTTCTTTAGCAGTGTGGTTGTGGGTTTGTCCTTACAGAGCAGCACTAGCTCCAGATCCAGATCCCCCTTTAGCAGCAGACCTTTGGCTACCAGGCCCACCCTCATCACGCCACGCAGGGAGCGTGTGGTCTGCTCTGCTGATTTGGGCTCACTGCAAACCAAAGCAGTAGAACTTTAAGTCATATTTAAGGGTAATTTAAAAAAATTGTATGCAAGATTTTAGATTATACCACAATAAAGCTAATAAGGCACGAGTATATAATAGGGAAATAGTGGAACACAAATGCATGTGTTATAAACAGATACGAATACAAGGAGCACACTGCAGAAACACTTTAGAAAGCTTATTCAAAGCACTAAACAGATACAGATAGTAGCACTGCAATACACCCCTAATATACAAAGAAATCTATGAACACAAACAAAAACTGACAAGCATGCTAGAGACAGCTGATATGCAAATGTCACATTTATATGTTAAGAAGAAGAAGAAAAAGAAGAGGTCTGGTTGTTGCAGCTGAATTAGAGCAATGTGATCTTTCAGAAATATCTCCCTTACTCACCTGTCTTTCTCTCCAGCTCCTTCAGACTCAATGGGATTCGGTTTCGTGGATCTCCTCTCCTGCTCGTCCAGCCAATCAGACACAGCCTTGAGGGCACGCTCAGTGTGGGAGACCATATTCTGCACAGCCTCCAGCTCCTCTTGCGTGGGGTAGATAGCGGAATGCTTGGCCATAACATGGCGGTCATCGTTCACAAAGATACGCATGGAGCGATGACGAAGAGGAGGAGGCTGGAAAGGGGGAGAAATATGGACAGAACTTATACCTGGTGCCAGGAACTTAACAAAAGAAGGGGGAAGAAATCAGATTCCAACACGAGGACTTCTCGCAGCAATGCAAAAGTGATGCTGGTAATACTGTATAAGGGTGGACAATTCCAATTAATCAGCCAGGTTTAAAAAAAATAATAATAACAATAAATCACAGCAGAATTGACTTTTACCATAGCTGAAACTATGAGGTCCTTCAGTTTGGAAATGACAGTGTCGAACTCAGTGCAGGCAGCTGGAAAAGTTCCTCTTGTCTGCAAATAAAAGGCAAAAGATTAATGCATTACAATTCTTTGTAACCAAATTAACATTATATCCAACCAATGCTGTGTATTTCTGTTCAATAATGAGAGCTAAAACAAGTAATGAGAAGCTGAAACCCTAAACAAAGAGAAACCAAAACAAAGAGAACCACAAAAAATTGAATGAAAATAATTTGTCTTTCATTTATCCTCCTCTCTCTCTCTCACAGTCTACAGCCGTCCGTTAGAACGTAATCGCCCCACATATATTTAAGTGCCTCCTCACAGACGCAAGCAGCTTCAGTGCAGTTTTAGGAAAGCAGGATGAGAGCGGGCTCAGGAGAGCTACTGGATCACTGAGTGACTCAGACTGCATGGCACTCTGCAGCACATCTCTCTAGCAACGCCACTGCTTTCGTCACCTCTTTCACAGAGCACAGAGACAGCCCAGCAATCCAGGGTAAAAATAGCCTGTTAATGGCCTGGTGAGGAATGAGGCTTTGATTATGCAAATGGCAAAAAATTACAGAGAAAAAAATTTTACGAATTGGGTTTTGTTTGGCTGTAAATTCGGAATAAATACTGCAAACTCGTTTGCCTGGGGAAAAATAGAAACGAATCGTGAAATTTGCGCAGCAAAACACAGACACGCATATGACTCACTTCAAACACAACTGGAGTGGATTGAAACACTTGTTAAAAAATAGAAGCATGGTGCGCCTACATACAGTATGCCTGGTGTACAATACTGGCCTCATTGGTGCCAAAATAGAAAACAGCATAACGTCTCAAATCTGAAAAGGTGAGCTATGACCATGCTTATGTTTAAGCAGTCTGTGTGAAGCATGTGTTTCAGCAACAAACAATACAAAATCAAAGGTCCTATCACTTCAGCTAATCTCTAATCCAAGAAGAAAATTATATTGGGCACTGACTGTGCCATTCTCAAAATCTTAGTACTGACCCTTAAAAACCTTAAAAACATATGTGGTTAAGCATTACATAGTAGTTTCACTCACATGAAGAAGACAGCACACCTGGCATTCTCATGTGAAATCTTCTGAACATGCAGTAAACCTCCTGCATCCTTATGATGGCTTGACTGTTAAGAGTCCTGGACTACTGACTGGAAGGTTTTTAGCTCAAATCCTGTTACCGCTAAACTAGGGCCTTTCGCACCGCTTTAGTTGCAGAACTAAATTTACAGTACTAAAGTACTGGGCGATTTTGCGCGAACTATTTCCCAGTACCGTTTAAAGGGTTGCATTCGCACCGACAGTGGGCACTAGGAAGTGACTTAAGCCGATCGACAGCGACTTCATTTGTGCGCGGCGCTCAACGACGGAAACAAAGAAGAACAACGTAAACAACCGGAGGATGGAGGACGCTGTGATCGGAGCTGTGTTTTTGTTGTGTCTCGTGTCCATCTATCGCTGTTCTCCATACTTGCGAAATAAGTTGACACTACAGTATATTTACACAGCGTTTTAAATCATGGCGGGTGAGGGCGTTTTCGTACGCGTTTGGCCAATCAACGTCTACTTACGTCAAGGATAGTACCAGTTGTACTGGTTAGACCCTGCTCCGGAGTAGGAGCTAATTTGGTTCTCGAAAAAGGCAGTCCGGTACTAAAATCGCACCCAGTTCCGGAGGTGCGAAAACGCCAAAAAGTGGGTAGTTCCACAATTAGTTCAGGTACTATGAAAAGGTTCCCGCGGTGCAAAAGGCCCTAATGTTGGGCCCTTGAGCAAGACCCTTAATCCTCATCTGCTCGGCTCAAATTTAATCCACTTTTCAGTAAATGCCAAATGAATAAATGGAAACATAAAAATACTATTTCAGTTAGGAATTTACCAAATCAGCATCAAGGTGATACTGCTCTGAGATTCTTGATCTGGATATGTGTTGGCTCAGATTAGATATTCTCAGAACCAATCCACTAGCATCGTTTATGCCATGAAGGTGCGATATACAAATAAGCACATGTTATCAGTTATAATAAATAAATTGCATTAATCCACAGTCTGGCGGGTCCCTGGAGGACTATTGGTTAGGCCTCGACGCTCTTAACTTCGTGGCCCGGGTTCGATTCCCGACCAGGGATCCAACCCCAGCCACTGGGGCTGCCCAAGACAGTGCCGGTCCCAAGCCCGGATAAAACTGGGGAGGCTTGCGTCAGGAAGGGCATCCAGCGTAAAAACTGGACCAAATTAAATACGCGGACCAATGATCCGCTGTGGCGGCCCTTAACGGGAGCAGCTGAAAGAACAACAACAATCTACAGTCTGATCTAGAAAGAAATCAGCCCGAGCCTCACCTCTTTACACCATTCTGTGTATTTTTCTTAACCATTGGTGGTGCTTTTGAGCTCGGTCCCACAAAATTCATCTGCCTTAAGACATTAGTATTGAAGACTTTATCTTTGAAAGACAGGGAGGGCTTAGTCCTGCCATACCATTTAGACCAGTCACCCCTGCTAAACTGTATAACCAGAACAACAGAACACTGAAAATCTGCTGTTGGGAAAAAAAATCAACCTTCTGTCTGTTTCCTTCTTGTCTGTTTATTCTTCCCTTTGAGTCAAACTATTACTGCATTTACACTGTGCACCCTGATGCACTTCTGATATTCTGATCTTTTTTGTCCTATCTGTTGACATACACAAGACCTGCCCCATATCAGACTCCCTTGCACACATCATTCTCCTACCAGTACGCACTACGCTGAAAACAGCACCTTTTTCCAGAAGCAGCAACGTAGTTGTAGATTCTGCTGTTTCCACTGAGATTATCATCATTAGTCTCTTTGCATTTTGCCTTTAATTTTGAACGGGTATTTTAGTCAGGACTGACTGTATCCTTTCTCCACCATGGCACAAGAAAAGTCCACATAGACAAACCACAGTTTTGTTTTTTTGTTTTTTTAATTGTTGTATCCCACCATTAAACTAATAACAATTTATTTCATCAGGACTCCACTGATTTCCCTCCATGATGCACTTGTGGTGTCTGAGCAATTTTGGCCTAGCAAAAAATAAATAACTAATAAAAAAAATAAATAACACTACGACATTAATGCTAACTTCAGGAAAATTGGATGTGAGGATTCAGACTGAAGTTAAATGACCTTTCGGATTTATAACCTTCAGTGTGGTCCATATTAATTGGGAAGAAAATCAGACCTGAGCTGAAAAACATGGGAATTTGTTTGCAGTCTAAATGCAGCCATGAGCTCAGGCCACAACTCCGAAATGAATCGGTTTTGGAGGAGTGTAGAACCAAACATCGACAGAAACCTGAATTCAGTACATGTGCATCGCTTGAGCAAGACTAAGCCATGTTCATTCATAACACGAGCGGCCATTTTCACACAGCGGGGCAAAGCTGAAGCACACCTTACCACCACACTGCTCCTAATAAATCACTCTTCCTGTACAACCCCGAGTGCTGAGGAGGAATCTGCTTACACTCTAATTCATTTATCCACCTGAAGAGTGTTGCTAAGTGAACGTTTCCGGCTCAGCTGCTAAATCGCCGGAAACAGAAATCCCAAACACAACAGTGAGAAACAAACCGCTTTCGAGTGAAATTATAATTATTAAAATATACCTTGCATCAACGACAAGAAACGTGAACGAGGTTATAATTTTTTTTATACCATGAATAAACAGAAGGTGCTAAACGACGCAGGTAGCTAGGCTACACGGCTAACCACACACGAGCTGAACAAAGACAGGCCAGGAGCTAGCTGTGCAGCGCCTGCTAATTCACTAGCGTTAGCATGCAACGGTTTCGTTAGCATTAACACTTTGTGGGGGGGGGGACAGAGAAAGAGGAATGCAGTTATAAAACTAACTTTTTTTTAATTGAGTTGTTTATATTAATTAATAAAGGAGGAGCAGAAAACCATGTCCAACTCACCAGTACAGCGGGGTCTCTATCTATCTGCTCGGCTAAACGCACTCACTGTACTGCAGCGCAGCTACCCCAGGAACGAGGCGCTCCAAACCTGAACACGCGATTGGCTGAGACAGAGTCACGTGATCGAGGCTTCGCCAATTATTAGCGCTCCTCTACCCAGCCGCAGAGGAAGCTCTACAGGACAGTCTGGGGCACTGATGCCCTTGTAACGAAAATAGTTGCCGCTGTGAAAAGTTGACGAAGTATGCTTAAACACGCATGCGCTAAACCTTGTAATTTCGTGTAATCTCGCAAAAAAATGTTGTTCCTCTCGCGATGTTCTCTGTGGCGAGATGCATCTTCAATTGATTTATTGGGTTTGATCAATTAAAGCGGGGATCTGAACATACAGCTTCTGATAGAGGTTCTGATCCGGTCCACCAAATGAATTAATTAAAATTAATTCAATCTTAATTAAAATCGTCTTGTTGGACTGTAATAGAATTAAAAGTTTAAAAAAAGAGCTAGTCTCTCTTATTCCACTAGAGGGCAAAATAGAGCAATAACCTCAGGCCCATAAACTCAACTAATGACAACTCATGTAACCCTGTCTCTCTTATTTAGGGGTTTCACAGCAACTTTTATGCTTTTATTTTTACTTAACACACTTGAATATTATTTACTATTTTGTACATAAATCTAATTAAGTCCAATTCAATTCCATATTGTTTTTTGGTAATGAATTGCAGACTTTTCACTAGTTTTGTATGTGATATACTGTGCGTACAATCCATGAGCATTCAGAATGTACCTTTCAGAGGAATGCCAATACATTTAAGATTTATGTTATTTTTCTACTAAACTGGCTTTTTGGTCTGCCCCCTTGCTGGACTAAGTACCATGAGGCCCATTACCAAAAAGTTTGACAACCCAGTGTCTGGGTATGGAGAGGACGCCGTGCCATAAACAAATACACAAGAGGTATTGCTTTTCATTAGTGATCTGCAGAAAACGTACCATACTGAAAAGCAAAACCTTCATTGCATTGATCTTACATCACTTTATCTCTTTAATGAAAAAAAAAACATCAACAGGGAATTGCTTATTACGAATTAAACTGAATTTGTCTCAGACATAAGCGACATTTAAATCCACACTGCTGTAATGCATTTGACTGTGAAATTCCTTAAAAAAAAAAGCAATCACACCACTTTAAAAAAAGGGAAATTAATTACCCAAACCATATTGCTTTTCATTAGTAACACACAGAAAATATTACACATTAAAAAACAAAACCTTCATTGCATTGATCTTACCTCACTTTATCTCTTCAGTGAAAAACAATCAGCAGGGAAATGCTTTTCTAAGAATTACATACTGATCTTCAGAAATGAAGGTAATGTGTTGTTGCATTGCATTTCACTTTCATCACTGCACTGCAGTCATGCCACACTGAAATGCAGTCACTGTCCAATCACGGCACTAAACCATACTCAAGGGTGTGGTTGTAATCAGAGAAGAGGAAAAGGTCCTGAAAGTGTCATTTTATAGGAGATGTTGCCATCCATTGCCCAATTTAACCAAAACTAAAATGCATAGACATTTTATGATTCTAACTGATTCAGAACTCCCTGTGAGCCAATAGCTGACTAACTAAAACAGCTTAAAGGTGCATTAGGGAAGATTTCTCAAAATTTGTCAAGATTAGGTATCTATCGGTTAAGAAGGTGGAGCTGAATAAGATTTCATCTCCTTTCCCCACCCAGGAATACAAAGCGGTGGTTCAGCTAGAGTTAGCATGATACTTAGAGTTAGCATTAGCAAGGATTGTCATGACATCACTTTCAAGTGCACTATATAACACAATAAACACGCAAAATCCAGCTCATAATGATTTATGAGGATGGTCACAAGTGCAATCGTTGTAATTTTTTCTTCATAATAAGCTCTTATGAGCATTAAGCTGTGGTATTAGCATGTTAGCAGGGTGTGGAGTGAAGAGGTGTGAGTAATTGTCTATAAAATTGACTGACAGGATGGCCATGTAAACACAGATATGCATTCCGGACTGTAAGCAGTTTTCCAGAAGGGTTTTCTCAGCTATATAATACTTTTTTCCTGAGATCACAGCTAAAACTATTGTTTTTATCACATACTACATATTTTCCAGCTTATTCGTATTATTATTAGTAAAAAAAAAATAGACTATTGCACCTTTAAAACCGGCTAACAATACAAATGACCCCATGAGAGTAAACTGTCTGACTGTCATTCATCAGCTTCCCACCTGTTCAGCATGAAAAAAGCAAAAACTCTATCACATCTGAATCCATTTTACTCTCATACTATGATATTAGACTGTGTTATCCAACACCCCTGACCCAGCACTAACTGGAAATTTCTTTTACTGGATTGTCAGGGCAACTCACAGCAGCTCAGGAACATCATATTATAAAGTATTTGTATTCCATCCATGCATCCATGCATCCATCCATCCATACACAGGGTTGCAGGGAGCCTGGAGCCTATCCCTGGGGATTCGGGGCACAAGGCAGGGGACACCCCACACGGGGTGCCAGGGCACAATTGCACACACACTCACACACTATGGACAATTTGGAAATGCCAATCAGCCTACAACGCATATCTTTGGACTGGGGGAGGATACTGGAGTACCCAGAGGAAACCCCCAAAGCATAAGGAGAACATGCAAACTCCACACACAAGGCGGAGGCAGGATTTGAACCCCTGACCCTGGAGGTATGAGGCAACGGTGCTAACCACTAAGCCCTTGTCCCCCATATTTGTATTTCTTGACTCAATATTCATGCTTTTTCCATTTTAAACAAAGAATACACACACTTCAGCTTTAATACAGTTTAGCTACACTACAAGCTACATGGTAAAAACAGCATAGCTACAATAAAACTGCAAAACTGAAACTGGAGTAGACTGATGTCACCTCTTCTGCTAACAACAGCAGAGAAAAAGAAGACAAGAAGACAGTTTGTTTTGGACAGGAGCTTGTTGGAGTCATTTTGCTTCCAACCAACAGACAAACAGCTCCATGACTCATTGATTAAATATATAGTTTGTGTATGCTTGTGTACAAATTCCAACTAGTCAAAACTATAACTTTTATTCCATTTGACTTTAGTTAGAAAAGGGAAACATAGATGTTTTATTGCCACACAACCATGAATTC